AGCATATTGTAATTATTGTTGGAGGAGGTGTGGTGTTGCCTAGGCCTGTCACGATAACAAATTTTGCTGGGCGGTTAATTGTCTCAAAAATTATTGCGATAAACGATAATATTGTTTGAAATTTGACAATAATAAGTAATTATTGTCAAATTTAAAAAGAAACGTTTAATTTGTTTTGCGTGTAATACCTTTTTTCGACCACCAGATGGCAGTATAAGACTGTTTGAACCGAAGGATGGATAGTGAGGGAACGAGCAGCGTGCCTCTTTAAGAAAAATGGGAGGGAGACCCCTTGACGTGACATGGGCTGTCTGTCTTCGGTTCTCAAAATGGCGGATGCTTGGTGTGGTTTGAGCTAGTTAGCATAGCATTTTTCACACAAAGCTTTTAATCAAAAATCAGTAAACAAGTTCTCAGCTTCTTTTTGCAGAGAAAAATTTTTTAGACAAAGGCACAGGTTTCAACCGTGAATTTTGGAGCTTCAACAAGACAGAGTTTTTTTTCCCCAAGGTCGGCCTGTTAGCTTAGCTTCTCAGCTTAGCTGCTTTTAACGATCCAAAAACGCGATTTCGAACAGTTAAAATGGATTTTAAAGAGAAAGGGAGGGGTCAGTGAAGAGCACCGGAGTTGAGCCTTTTGTCATCCGGTGTCTTCAGTAGAAAGAGAGAGACGAAGAAACAATAAAGCCGATAAATGAAAATGAGGTCGATAATTTTAATTTATCTTGCGATTAATTGATTTATTGTTTATTGTGACATGCCTAGTGTTGCATGAGGAAATCTGGAGTGGCAGAGAAGTATGTTAGACTTGTACAGGACATGTATGAGGACAACAGGACAGAGGTGAGATGTGCTGTAGGAGTGACTGATAGCTTCAAGGTGGAGGTGGAAGTGCATCAAGGATCAACTCTGAGCCCCTTGTTTGCTCTGGTGATGGACCAACTAACAGATGAGGTCATGCAGGAATCCCCATGGACTATGATGTTTGCAGATGATATTGTGATCTGTGGTGAGAACAGAGAACAGGTGGAAGAGAATTTTGGAGAGGTGGAGGTATTCACTTGAAAGAAGAGGAATTAAAGTCAGCCGTAGTAAGACAAGAGTACATGTGTGTGAATGATAGGCAGGCCAGTGGAACAGTGAGGCTACAAGGAGCAGAGGTCACAAAGGTGCAGGACTTCAAGGACTTGGGGTCCACTGTCCAGGAAAATGGTGAGTGTGGTAAAGAGGTGAAAAAGAGAGTCCAGACAGGATGGAATGGATGGAGAAAAGTTTCAGGAGTGATTTGTAACAAAAGGGTGTCAGAAAAGGTCAAAGGAAAAGTTTATAAGACAGTGGTGAGACCAGCTATGTTGTATGGTCTGGAGACAGAGACATGGACAAAAAGACAGGAGAAAGAACTGGAAGTGGCAGAAATGAAGATGTTGAGGTTCTCCTTAGGAGTGACAAGGATGGATAAGATTAGGAATGAGATCATCAGAGGTACAGCACAGGTTGAACAACTGGGAGATGAAGTTAGGGAGACCAGAATGACATGGTTTGGACATGTCCAGAGGAGGGACAGTGGGTATATTGGTAGAAGGATGTTAGAAATGCAGCTGCCAGAAAAAAGACAACGAGGAGATATATGGATGCAGTTAGAGAGGACATGGAGGTAGATGGAGTGAGGACAGAAGATGCAGAGGACAGAGTGAGATGGAGGAGGAAGACTCACTGTGGTGACCCCTGAAGAGGGAAAAGCCAAAAGAAGAAAACTGGCTAGTTCCATGGACGGCAATAATCAGACCAATGACCTGAGAGGAAAAGAGACAATATTCCAAGTAGAGTGTATGTTGGTGCATGTAGTGTAAGAGTACCACTGCCTGCAGCTCCTCCTCCAAGATGGCCGCTAATTAATCCCACCTGACGGCCATCAGACTGAGGAGGCTCTCTGACTACAAAAGGCTGCAGTCCAGTGCTACTCTTCGCTGGAGCATATCACCTTTCATGTAATCCTGATTCCTCGGCTTGTTCAAAGGGCCCCTTGTGATCCTTTGATTCTGGACTCCTCGTGTCCTGTTCTGTGTTCCCTGGACCTCCTCGAGACCTGTTCCTGGTTTGCTGACCCCCTTGGGTCTCTCCTTGGTTTGTTCTTTCCTGCACCTGGATTCCTTTGCCTGGTGCCTCTAATCCGGCCAGTGCCTGCCCTGCCAGCCGCTGGACTCTCTCTCTGGAGCTCCCCGGAGGACTGGACCCCACCTCTGGATCAAACTGAGCTGCAGAGGAGCTGTACCTGAACTGTTGTTTCTCACCTTGTAAATAAACACCGTTTTCTTTGTATTCCACCTGAGTCTGTCTCGTTCCGGGTCTCATACAAATCTGGGTTCCCCTCGGTTACGACATGTAGGATATTTCACATGTTCTTGTTTACAGAGTGCAAAGCACAGATTGATTATGGACTCAAAAGTATGTTCATTTATTTGTTCTCATTCTAAACCTTTAACTTATTTCCAAATCACACCAAACCATGAGCATTATTCAGGTTTATCTTTGAAACCAAAAGTGTGTCCCATTCTAATGAATGGCTTTTACATCAAAAGGGCAGAAGCTACCACTGTCTGCTGCAAAACACTCAAAAAACATGCAGACAAATTAAGATGGCACACAGCAAAGCTGGAGTCAGTAATCACTTCAAACAACAGGATCTTATTTGGGTTAAAGCCATCAGAAATTGCTGTTAAGCCGGGATAACATCCAAAACATTTTCCTCATAGGTTGTCCAAAGAATATAAACCTTTGAGCCATGGAAAGCAAAGGCTTCTAAAAATGTATGGACTGAAGGTTAGCCCACTCAGTGTCATTCCACAAACTACTGTAGGTCAGACTGCTTCTGCAGAACAAGCGGCGTGCCCCTGGAGCTGTTGACTGACCCGTGTCAACCAGTAAACCTAAATTACAAGTACCACAAATGAAGAGAACAAGTGGCTCAAAGACCTGGCACGGTGTGATAAATCAGATCTTCTTTAACATTATGAGGATGTCTGAGTTCATGTGTGTCACTTAAATAAGACAAGCCGCTGGGGG